GAGGGCAGCGATCCAGCTGTGCCCCACCTCCCCCCCTCCATCCATTCATGCTGTACTGGCAGTGATGCACAACAATTCTCCAACTGTTCCCCTTGGGGCACCCACAGACTCCAGCATCGCCGCCCTGGGCACCCTCCAGCTGCTCAACGGCCCCAACCGCTGCGCCGGGAGGGTGGAGGTGCTCCACAACCACATGTGGGGGACAGTCTGTGACGACGGCTGGGACCTGGCGGATGCGGCAGTGGTGTGCCGGCAGCTGGGCTGTGGCACGGCTCTGTCGGCCACCAGCGGGGCTCGCTTTGGGAGGGGCCACGATCCCATCTGGTTGGACGAGGTGAACTGCACCGGCACCGAGGACACCCTTTTCAACTGCAAGGCCAGAGCGTGGGGGGACAACAACTGCTTCCACGGGGAGGATGCTGGAGTGATATGTTCAGGTAACTCACCTTGAGGTGCAGGAGGGGTCAACATCAGACTTTCAGGGTCTCCTAACGGGCTATGGGACAGCTCCTGCATCCCCCCCAAGGTCGCTCGTCTGCAGCATCCCCTTTGCAGTGCTGGGGAGCACCCACAGCACATAGATGGGCAAGTCGCCCTGCGAAGCCTTTGCCCACCTCCTGCTGCCGTGAATCCAGTGCTAAGCTGCAGGAACAGCGAAGGGCTGTTCATTTGCAGTTGCATCCATGAATTACCGAGGACCTACCCCAAAGCCTGGATTGCCTTGGGGGCAACTAAGTTGTACCATGCAAAGCTTTCTGCAGGCATAACTCACCATCCCCTGTCCCTGCCCATCCAGCCAGGCCAGGTCTGTCTTGCCCATCGCCCACGATGCAGAGCTTTTGATGGAGTTTTTGATGCACATGTAGCTCAGCTCTTTTATTTGGGCTGTGCAGCAGGGAGCAGGAAAGTGCCTTTGCAATGAGGTCCTGCACCTGGGTCAGGGCAACCCCTGGTATCAATACAGGCTGGGGGATGAAGGGGATTGAGAGCAGCCCTGAGGAGAAGGCCTTGGGGGTACTGGTGGATGAAAAACTGGACATGAGCGGACACTGTTTGCTCACAGCCCAGAAAGCCAACCGTATCCTGGGCTGCATCAAAAGCAGCGTGGCCAGCAGGTGGAAGGAGGGGATTCTGCCCCCTGCTCTGCTCTGGTGAGACCTCACCTGGAACCCTGCGTCCAGCTCTGGGGTCCTCAGTACAGGAAGGACATGGACCTGTTGGAGCCAGTCCAGAGGAGGCCACAAAAATGATCTGAGAGATGGAACACCTCTGCTATGAGGAAAGGCTTAGAGAGTTGGGGTTGTTCAGCCTGGAGAAGAGAAGGCTGCAGGGAACCTATTGTGGCCTTTCAATACCTAAAGGGGGCTTCTAAGAAAGATGGGGACAGACTTTTTAGTAGGACCTGTTGTGATAGGACAAGGGGTGATGGTTTTAAACTAAAAGAGGGTAGATTCAGACTAGGTATAAGGAAGAACTTTTTTACAATGAGGGCAATGAAACACTGGAACGGGTTGCCCAGGGGAGGTGGGAGATGCCCCATCCCTGGAAACATTCAAGGTCAGGCTGGAGGGGCTTTGAGGAAGCTGATCTAGTTGAAGATGTCGCTGCTCATTGCAGGGGGGATGGACTGGATGACCTTTAAAGGTCCTTTCCAACCCAGACCATTCTATGATTCAATGATAAGGTACCTTTGCAATAAGTGACTTTGCAAGAAAGTGTCTTTGCAATAAAGCCCCTTTGCAAAGCCACCCCTCAAAATTCACTTTTAAGAGGATGCTGAGCATTGTGGGCACTTGGTCTCCAGTTTGGGTGCTCCCCACACACGGAGGATGCTCAGGCTGGAGCAGAAGAAACTGTGGCTCTGCCAGTGCACTTACCCTTGCATGTCATTGGCAGCTTCGGGGATGTCCGTCGCCATTGAGCTCCGCCTGGCCAACGGTTCGACGCACTGCGAAGGCAGAGTGGAGGTCACCCACAACGGCACCTGGGCAGCCCTGTGTGATGAGGGCTGGGGTCTGGCCGAGGCTCGAGTGGTGTGCAGGCAGCTGGGCTGCGGGAGAGCGCTGTCGGCACCCGGCGGGTCACGTTTTGGGCAAGGACCTGGGCAAACGTTGCCCAACAGCATGAGCTGCGTAGGCACGGAGACTGCCCTCTCTGCGTGCAAGGTGAAGCCCAAGGGAAATGGCATTTGTCACCATGGGAGAGAAGCTAGCGTGGTGTGCGCAGGTAACCCCCTTGGGAGCGACACGGCACGAGAAGTGAGGGGGGTCTTTGTCCATCACCTTCATTTTCCACCTCTGCAAGCAGCCCCAGACAATGTGCCCTCTTCATGGGCTTTTCCATCATGGGGTGTCATGGGATGTCCGGGGGGGCTGGAGAAATTTTAGGCGTCTTTCCAGAGGCATCGGTGACAATGCCAGTGGGTGGGATGCTGCCGTGGTGCAGCTTGCAGCCTCTTGCCCCTCTGCCAGCAGGCACTGGGGATCAGCCAGCTCCTTTCTGCAGTAATTAGACAAGCCTGCGGCACTCGCTGCAACACTCAGTGACCTGAGAAGGTGCCAGGGCATTTTTCCTTACCCGGAGGTCGCAGTGTGCCGGCCCTTCCCCATATTTCCCTCTTTTAGGTAATTCGGAGGGCGACCAGGTCCGGCTGGTGAACTATGGCAGCCGCTGCGCAGGGTCGAGGTCTTCCATAACAAGCAGTGGGGCACCGTGTGCGATGACAACTGGGACCTGCTGGATGCCGAGGTTGTCTGCCGGCAGCTGGACTGCGGGCGAGCGCTGTCGGCCCCTGGGGCGGGTCAGTTCGGGCGCGGGGACAGCATCATCTGGATGGATGAGACAAACTGCACAGGGTTGGAGAGCACGCTGTCCGCCTGCCGGGCCCGGCCATGGGGCGTCAATAATTGCTACCACGGGGAAGATGCTGGCGTGGTTTGCTCAGGTGACCAATGCTCCTTTGGCATCGCTCCATGCAAGGCGGCGGGAGGGGAGGGTGTCACGCCGGCAGGCCTGCACCCCCAGATAAGACTGGGGGTCAGCATCAACAGGCAGTGGGGTTTTCCTCCCTGCACGTGATGGCCCCATTGGAGGGCTGCTATTCCCATCCCAAGGTG